AAAAAAATGTTTGATTTTATAGTTTTTATACATTTACACTGATATTTTTATAAATGTATTTATTTTTATATTCTCAAGGACTGAAATTCAAATATATAAATATAATATGAATGCCCAACTGTAGCCTAAGAAACAGAAAAAAATCTGTCAAAAATGTTTGATTTTATTATTACTGATATTACTTTTTTATAACTTTATTTTTCATCTACTTATTAAATACAGTGAACGTCAAATAACGCATTATATAGGGAACAGAAATTGTTGTTTCTAATGGAAAACAACACCTAATACCTGTTCGTGAAGATCCACCATGATGGAGCTCTGTTGGGGGGGTTGTGTGGAAGTATGCAGCATGCGTGGCGGTGCACTGGTGTGGCTATATTGCCTGGACTCATCTAAATGAATCTGCCGATGCTGGGAGAAGACAGGGTGGTGGAAGTTCTCATCCTGATGTAGGGAAGTGTGCACAGTAGGTCTATCCCGCTGTCCCCACTGACGTCGTACTGGAGGACTAGGACATGAACGCACACAGATTGTAAGTAGATACTCTGCAGATGTTTTTTGTTGACTCAAAATGATGACAGCCGCCTCACCTTCTCCTGAGGTGCAGAGGGGTGATGCAAGGCTCCGCGATGACCCTCCTCTGGTTTAAGGGGGCTGTTGATTGCCGCCTACTCACTGCTACTTCCCATGGTCGCATTTGTGACGTCGTACGAACGAGTCACACCTGCCTGGGGTGGGGAGACCAGTAGTGCAAGAGGCACTTGTGTCTAACAGCCTCAGATTGTCCGAACTCTGTTTAAAACAGAGGAAATGTTGGTTTTGTGAATTGAATAATGATTTAGAGAAAATCTGCATAACCCTTTGTAGTCATTTAATGTGCATTTCAACTTGTTAGATTAACTTAATATGAACAGTATAACCAGAAACCAAAATTCTGTCATTATTTACTCATCCTCATGTCAATCCAAACCCGTATGCTGTTATTTTTTGTTCTCACTGCTTTTCCCCCATACACTGACTGTACATAGCAACCATGTCTGCCAAGCTCCACAAAGAACACCATAAAAGTAGTTCTCATGACTTCTGACAGCTTTGAGTGAGGAACATGCTTAAAAAATGTATTATTTACTAAAAACCTTTACATACACCATGTTTAAATTCAAATATAGTACTCTCAAATAAGTTATACTGTACATCATATAGCATTAGTGACATTCACAGGCTTTCAAAACATGAGGCAAAGTAGTAAGTTGTGGTACACTTTTTGTTTAACATGCAGGGGGAACCTGGTTCAAATCCCAACCTCACATACAATTATTATTATTTTTTTGTTAAAAAAATCTATTTTTAAAAAA